TCACGGCGGGCGGGTGTGTGTGTGTGTCTAAGATTCCAAGAGGGGAATGGAGGAGAAGGGATTGCGGCGTGGCCATCCCCTGGGAGGGGTGATTTCTCGCTTTCTGTCTCTCTCTTTCTGGCGAGCACACACACCCTATAGCAAAAACTTCTAAAATATATATACATATTTCTTATATTGAGTCAATATTGTTCTGGTAAATAGACTAACTGAGGGTGAGTGAATGTTCAAGTGCATACACCATATAGCAAAAGTCTGTCTCTCTCTACACACACACACACACAAAAAGTACATAGGACTTTAGCATAACCATTATGCATCTGTTGGTCCTTCTGTATTTTTTTTTTTTTAAGTTTTGCCATAGTGTGCACTTGCCAAAGAGAAAGAGAGAGACAGTGAGAGGGAGAGTGAGAAATTACCCTCCAGGGAGGATGGCCATGCCACAATCCCTTCTCCATTCTCCTCCTGGAATTTTGGGCACAAACAGATACAGACCCTCTGTGATTTTCAAGCCATCAGGTCCAGGATTCAAACCGTGATAAACCATGTGTGAGTCTAGCATCTTAACTACCTTGCCATATTCTGGCCCCATTTCTTTCTTTTCTTAATTTCCCTTCACTGCCTCTCAGTTAAGTTTAGTAGTGAAGATCTTCCTTTATTTCCCAGAATATGGCATCATATTTCATACTTCTGTACTTTTATACATTATGATCCTTTTGCCTGGAATTTCCCTTTGTCCACTTGATACGCTTATTTTGCTTTTCAAATCTGATCCAGATGTTAATTTTTTATCAGAAAGTTTCTCTGACTTCTCCAGATAACATTGGTCTTTCCCTTCATCTCTGTACCTTGTTGGTTAACCTTTGCACTTATCACTCAGTGCTAATAATAGTGGCTGGCATGTGATTGGTGCTTCATAAATAAATAATTAATTAAATAAATGATCTCCTACAGAGCCTGAAATGCCTTCTTGAATAGCCCGAGTATTCCATGTCCTCCCTTTTTGTTTAATTATTTGGTTTATTAAAAGGCATTTTAACACTGGCAGAAAGAATACAGTCTTTGGAATTAGATAAAATTTCTAATCTTGGCTCTTTCAAGACACATTATTCCTCTGATTCTCAGTTTCCTTCTCTGTGTGTGTGAATGATAATTCCTTTTCACATACTATGTTGAGATTTAAATAATTGTGGGATTATTGTGAGGCTTAAGTGATATATGAAAACACCTAGAGGAGAGATTAACATGCAGAGCACTAAATAGTTGATGAGACCAGCAGTTGGCGTAGTGGCTATGTCACTGGACTCCCATGTAGTTAACCACAGTTCGAGTCCCGGACCCGGTGGCTTAAACTCACGCCAGGTGCGTGTGTGTGCATGCCCAAGATCTCGAGAGGAGAATGTTGGAGAGGGGATTGTGGCGTGGCCATCCTCCCCTGGGGGGTGATTTCTTGCTTTCCATCTCTCTGTCTGTCTTTCTGGCGAGTGCACACACCCTATAGCAAAAATCTCTCCAAAAAAAAAAAATAGTTGTTTAAAAAATGGTTGTATTTTTGTATGTCTCAATTATATGAGAAATAATGCATAATGTTTTGGGGAAAGCAAATTTCCCCTGCATTTTGCTTTCCTGAGCCAGTAGATGCCACTATCCATTGAAGGGAAGTGCTTGCTCCTACCTTATTCATTTATTCAGCAAATATTGAGTGCCTATTATGTGCCATGTAGTATTCTATTATAGAAGATACAGAGTACACACACGGAAAAAGACAAAAATTTCTTTTTTTCTGTATTTATTTAAATTTCTTTTTTTTTCTTTATTTTTTTAAAAACATTTATTTATTTATCTGTTTGCTTGTTTCGGTTTTCAGCCTTCCAGGTCTGGTTGAACATGTGGGAATCCAGTGCCTTAACCGCCACACCGCCTGCCGACCCCAAATAAGACAAAAATTCTTATCTTCATTGTTTACATTGGGTTGTCGGAAAAATCATGACATTTTTTTTTTCTATGCATCATGACTTTTGACAATCCAATATGTTAATAAGGGAAACTGACAGGTTTGAATAGCCCGATCCCTTACTGTGAACTTCTGGATGAATCCTGTTATGTCTTTGTACTGTGTAACAAATATATTTTCGTGTTCATTTTAGTATCACACACTACATAGCTCCTCCCAATGCTACCACTGATCTCTGTGGTTTACTGTCTTAGTTGTTACATCAGTTGTTCACTATACCAAGGGGATAAGCCCTTGTTAATGTTGGCGGTAATAGATCAGCATTTTCATTGCTAAATCTCAGTGTAACAATGATTAGGATTATAGTCAGCCCTGCACATTTGTGGTTTCTGTATCAGGGGATTCAACCAACCATTGGTGTAGCCCAGCCACATCATTTGTTATGAAATGGGGATAGAGGTGGCTCCCTAGAAGAGAGATGCTCAAGAAGTTTTTCTGTATGTTTTCCTTTTCACTTATATCTGATGCTGATATTATTTACAAATGTTGTTGAGGTGATTTAAAATATACGCAGTACTGTGCCATTTCGTATAAGGGACTTAAATATTCTCTGATTTGGGTATCTGTGGGTGATCCTGAGGCCAGTTCTCTGCAGACCCAAAGGGATGACTGTACTCAAAAGTTAAATTAAGAAGCAAGGGGTACCCTCTGAGCCATTGTTTTGCCCTCAGTAGGACAGATTGTAGAGATTTAAGAACTGAAATGTACTCTGATCACCATATTTTTGTAAATCCAGAAAGCAGGGCTTACAGAAATAAAATGATTTGCTCAAAGTCATAAAGTTAAACAGTTCTAGGAGATCCAGCTTTCTTAACTCTGATTTGATGCTATGTTTTCTTTTTCTCTGTACCTAAAAGTTTCTTTTGGAAAAGTATTCTCTCTTCCAATAGTTTCTGTGACAGATCCTTAGTTAGGGGTTTGCAAGGAGATGAGGAAGTATGAGAAATATGAGTCCCAAGGACAATTAACATGCCTGCAACTCTGATAAGCATCATTCACTTGGGTTGAGAGCAAGGACTTCATGGAATAGAATTGGCCCTTCATCTTTGAAATGGGGTTGTGTTGTTGATTCTTTGCTTTGGCTCATTGGCTCCCTAGTTATTTGATATGGATTATTTTTTGTGTGGAGATTTTCAGTACCTAATATGATTTTGTTAAATATGTTTTAATTCGGTTAGAGTGACGGAAAGTCTAAGAACTTGTAAAAATTTTATCAAAATCATTAATAAATCTATTGATCTGAAACATTTGGAAATTATCTTGAAAAGTGATGTGGCCTTTCATGTAATGTTAGTCCCTTATCCAGGTAGAGAGCTATGCTAAACTTAGTTTCTTTGTTAAACTTAGGGTCAACTTTTTAACTAGTATATATGCATGTGACCTCTTATCAGTTATCATTATTTTACGTCAGTTAGGTACCTGTTATTTATTTCATATTTGTAAAGCATTACAAACTGTTTTAACTGATTGCTTTGTTGGATGAAAATATTTGAATTTTCCCATAAACCTCCAGTTCATTTGTCTACTTTTTCTTTTCCCACCTATAGTCCTACTTTCTTCCAGGCAGAGTTGTGGATCAAAGAATTGTAAGTTATTTTTTATATAATATTCCCTTCTCAATCACTTCACTTTTAGTTAGAAGATATGAAACAATTAGTTAATCATTCTGCTGTTCTTTAGTTAAGAATTACATATGTATACTTTTAAGTTGCTGGTTTATAAAATTCTTTTGGAGTTGAGACATTTCTATACTCCTGTTTATTAAATCTGTAACAATCGTTGAATCTAAATTGAATTGGAAAAAATATTTTGAAGGTAGCTATTATATAGAAAGGAAAATACCCTTATTTTTATATTGTTGAAACTGATTTATTAACTAATATTTCTGGAGTTCTGAAAAATCACCAAAAACATTCAGCCAGAGTTTTATTTTGTTTAATTTGCTGGAGGTTACATGTACTTGTTGGAAAGAGACAGAGAGAGGAGAAATAAGAAAGCCCCCCTACCACACATGTGCCTAGTGTGTTTCTCAGGTTTACTGCAGGTCAAGGACTCGAACTTCAGTCATCTATGTGGGATCCAGCTGCCTTAACCACCACGTCATTAACTGGTCTTTTTCTCCAGTTGTAAGAACTCATCTTGAATTATACAAACTCCCCTGGTCTTGATGATTAAAAAAAAATAATAAAACTACAGTATTTTACTTAAAGCCTCAATGATATTTTGTATTATTTTTTTCCTTTGGAGTTCAGTCCTACTTTTGGATTTCCAGAATGAATCTTAATGAGTCTTCACTTTCGGGGCCAGCAGTTGGAGTAATGGCTATGTCGCTGGACTCCCGTGTAGTTGTCTGCAGTTTGAGTCCTAGACCTGGTAGCTTAAACTCAAGGCCGGGCGTGTGTGCGTGCGTGCCCAAGATCCTGAGAGGAGAATGGAGGAGAAGAGATTACAGCATGGCCGTTTCCCCTGGGGGGTGATTTCTTGCTTCCTGTCTCTCTGTCTCTCTCTGTCTTTCTGGCAAGTGCACGCACCCTATAGCAAAAACCTCTCCCCCCCCCCCACAACAATATCTTCACTCCTCTCCCCCCCCAAAAAAAAATATCTTCACTTTCACTATAACCTTAAAGGACTACACTTTTTTTTTTTTTAAGGTACTTATCATAGGATGCGTGTACTTAGTGGGGTAAGATGGAGAGAGGAAATATGAGAAATCATGCCCCTAGGGGGGATGGCCACATCACAGTACCTTCTTCATTGTCCTGTAGGGATTTGGGGCATGCAAGCACATGTACCTGGCATGATTTTCAAACCACGGGTTTGGGACTTGAACCTCAGTTTATCATATGGGAATCTAACATGTTAACTACCATGCCATCTATGGCCCCAAGGACTATATATCTACAAATACTACACATCTGCCATATCCACAGAACTCATCTGTTCCATTAAGTAACACCATAGTATTTTTTTTTTAAGAGAGGTTTTTGCTATAGGGCGTGTGTGCTCACCAAAGAGACAGAGAGACAGAAAGTGAGATATCACCCCACAGGGTGATGGCTATGCTGCAATCCCTTTTCTATTTTCCTCTCAGGGTCTTGGGCATGCACACACACGCACCCAGCATGAGTTTTAAACCACCAAATCCAGTGTAACCATTACACCATGTGTTGGTCCCAATACTGTAATATTTTTAATAGCTTTTCTAAAAATAGTAGACTCATTTCAGTAACACCATGTAGTTTGACTCTGTTGTAAAATATATGTGATGGTAAGTTAGTATAAGGATTTTAGGCGTTTTATGTGAGAGTTCTATATTTAATACTCTGTGCATCAATAATAATGTGTTCAATGCTAAAAGGGTGATCTACATTGGTCTCACCTTCCTTTCATTTCTTAGAACTAGTGTTTATGATTCTCGAGCTCGGGAAAGATTGCGCCAAATTGAAGAGCAGAAAGCACTTGCATTACAGCTTCAAAACCAGGTAAAAAAAAATTAGGCATTACATTATAAAATCACATCTAAGCTAAAACTATTTGGGGAGATTATCTGAGTTTGAGTAATTGCTGTTTTGATTACAAAATTATACTGTAGCCTAGTGTTTTGTGATATCTGGCTAGTACCGTTCAATGTACATTAGGCAAATAGTATTAACAGATTTCTGTATTCCACTTACTCTGAAGTTCTGTTTTTCAGAGATTGCAGGAGCAGGAACATTCAGTACATGATTCAGTAGAACTGCATCTTCGTGTACCTCTTGAAAAGGAAATCCCTGTCACGGTTGCCCAAGAAACAGTTAAAAAAGGTCATAAATTAACTGATAGTGAAGATGAATTTCCTGAAATTACAGAGGTAAATTACATACTATAAACTCCTGCATTAGCAAGTATATGTTTAGAAAGAATGTTTTAGATACATTTCAAACATAAAATCAACAGAACACCTGGTTTTTTAATTTTATTGCTCCTGCTTACAAATATAAATGAAGTATTATGAATACAGTATAATACATTTGTATTGCAGTCATACATATCTTGGCTTTATTTTATTTTTTAAAAAACATTTATTGGGGGACCAGCAGGTGGCGTGGTGGTTAAGGCGCTGGACACTCCCACATGGCCGACTGCAGTTCAAGTACTGGACCTGGCAGCTTGCTTTCTCACTTCCCCCCCCCCTCTCTTTGTGTATCTCTCTCTGGTCAAATTAAAAAATAAATGAATGAATAAATAAAACTAAATAAATCATTAAAAAATAAAAAAAATTATTGGGACCAGCAGTTAGCGTAATGGCTATGTCGCTGGACTCCCATATAGTCGGCCGCGGTGTGAGTCCCGGACCCGGTGGCTTAAACTCACGCCGGGGGTGTGTGTGTGCGTGTGTGCGTACCCAAGATCCTGAGAGGAGAATGGAGGAGAAGGGATTGCGGCGTGGCCATCCCCCCTGGGCGGGGGGTGATTTCTCGCTTTCTATCTCCCTGTCTCTCTCTGTCTGTCTGGCGAGCGCATGCACCCTATAGCAAAAACCTCTCAAAAAAAAAAAAAAAAATTTTTTTATTTGTTAGTTATGATTGTCAAGCTGTACCCTAACCACCATGCCTTTATTGGCTTTATTTTTAAAGGATTATTGAAAAATTGATGGAAGAATTATAGGTAACTTTTAGAAACTTCAGTGAAAGAACATTTAATAAATTTTTGTTTAATTTGATGTGTAATTTTATTTGTATTTAACGTACATATTTAATATTGAGTCGGTCGTTGGAAAAGTCATGACACATTTTTGCATAGAAAAGCACATCATGACTTTTCTGACAACCAGTAGTTTGACATCAAATGTAAGCTGAGATTTACTCATTTTTTTTGAGAGAGAGATTTTTGCCATAGGGCGCATGTGCTCACCAGAGAAAGACAGAGACAGAAAGTGAGAAATTACTCCCTGGGGCATGGCCACACTGCTATCCTATCTCCTCCATTCTCCCCTCTGGATTTTGGGCATGTATGCACATGTACCTGGCCTGTGTTTCAAGCTGCTGATCTGGTACTCGAGCCACGGTCGACTCTGTGGGAGTCCAGCAACGTAACCACTACACCATCTGCTGACCCCGAGAAATACTTTTTATTAAGTAATAAAAAGCCATTGTAGAAAATTTCTATGTATTTGGAAAATGCATAGAAGTCTTTGTACATTTTTAAATAATTGCTCTCTCTCTTTCTCTCTCTTTTTTTTTTTTCAACTTCCAGAGGGCACGTGAGATCTCCGAAGAGATATAGAGAGAGGGAGGTAGGGAAGGAGAAAGCAACCCCCATTGGGGCATAGTTACAGTCCTTTCTCCTCATTTCTTCTCAGGATTTGGGGCATGAACACGTACATAACCAGCATGTTTCTTAAGGTCCTGGAGCCAGGACTCAAACTGCACAGTTAGCCATATGGGTTCTGGCTCCTTTAATTACTAGGCTACAAAGCCAGCCTAATAATCTGATTGTTTTTGTTTTTTTAAATAATTATTTTATTTAATTTTATTAATAATAATAATAATTTGTTTTAGTTTGACCAGAAAGAGAGAGAGAGAAAGTGAGAAAGCAAGCTACCAGGTCCGAGGTTTGAACTATAGTCAGCCACATGGGAGTCCAGCATCTTTAACCACCATGCCACCTGCTGGCCCCAGTAATCTGTTTTCAGTCCATACTTCTCTTTGAAAAATTGTTTTGTACCTGGTGAACATAACACATTTATTATGGTCACCCTACATTCCATATTTTACATTTTAAAAGGTAAAGGTTTTCTGGGGCATCTGGTAGGAAGGCAACTAGATCCCACATGGCCAACTGCATTGTTCAAATCTCAAGCTTGGTGGCTTGAAGAACACTCTGGGCACATGTGTATGTGTGCCCAAAACCTGAAAAGGAGGGAGAAATGGAAGAGAAGGAATTGCAGTATGACCATCCCAATTTCTCTCCATTGAGCATGTGTGCGCTCTGACAGATTAAAAGAAAAATGTTCTAAAAAAATGGTATCTAAAAGATACTACCTTTATTCCTTTACACCTTTTGTGAGAGATTCCATTTGTCAGGAAATTGGACTAGAGATATAAAATCTCATTACGGCGCCTCATAGACTTAGAAAACTTGTTAGCAGAAAGTTGTCCCAGACTTTGGGAATTACTATGAAACAAGAGTCTGAATGTTGTATTGAAGAAAAGGAGGGAGGGAGGACTAGATGGGATGGAAGAAGGTAATCAGGGAAATTACTGGAAAGAAATACAAACCAAAATGTTAGATGGAATTAAATTGATTGAACAGTAAATGAATAAATTTTTGATTAGTGATAAATATAGTTTGGGGATTATATGGAGTTTGGTGAGAAATCTGGTTCATCTGAAGCCACGTGTGTTTGATTTCTGACACCATTTGGTTCCCTAGGAAATGGAGAAAGAAATAAAGAATGTATTTCGTAATGGGAACCAGGATGAAGTTCTCAGTGAAGCGTTCCGCTTAACCATTACACGCAAAGATATTCAAACTTTAAACCATCTCAACTGGCTCAATGATGAGGTAATCTTGTACCTATTTTTATATACAGACAGTAAGTGAACATTAAGTGAAACTAAATCTAAGCATTATCTCACTGTTTCCCAAAGTGTGGTCCTCAGATGACCTTCATTAGAATCACCTTCCAAGACCTCTTCTCCATTCTCTTCCATATGAGTGTGGTGGAGATAAACATTTTAAACAAGGATCTCTGGTAATTTTTATGTTCTTTAAAGTCTGAGAACCACTGAACTTGTGTTAAAGATCTAGACACTGAAGGGAGAGGACTTTTGCTCTTTGGTATTCTCACTCCTTTTAAGGCACCTACCCTAGAATTCACATCTTCTGAACAAATACTTACTAGTTGACCATGATGCAGAGTGAAGGAGTTCTTTAGGATTTCTGTATAGAAATCCAGTTGTACTTCTTGTTCTATTTCTACTTGTTTTGGGTCACTTACATTGTGAGTGACAAGCTTTCTAAAATATTCCCTGTTTATACATATTTTTTAAACTGACATTGAAGAAGTTTTATTATTAAATAATGTGTTTAATGATCTATTGGGCAAAAAAACAAAAGTAATGGCCTTTACCTCCCAATTCCATTTATTTTTAAGTATATTAATTATGCTACACTGTATATTTTTAAAATTGTTCTTTCTTTGATGAGATAAAGAGAGGAAAGGACTAAGAGACAGGTACTATTGCCAGCATCTTTTTATGCCATGGTCCTCCCACCCCAACATTTTGGCCAGCCAGGATTATGAGTGCATGCCATACTTGAGTTCAGGTTAACCCAGAATCCAAACCTGGCTCTCCCTGTGGCTTCTGCATGCAGTGACACCTTACTCCTTTTGCTGCCAGTCTTTAAACTGATCTAGCCTATTCTTGAAACTATAAAACCCTGTTTTACTTCAGAATATTTTCGTAGCAAAAGAAGAGAACTGGGTTGGGTATCTTTTTTGTAAGTACCACCTTTCTTGGATCACTAGGAACATCCCTGTCTCATCTTCTGAATGTATTCAAGTTTCATGGCTATGGAGGATTTTTGGGTCCTTGATAGTAAGCATTTAATATCCATATCCTGTTCTTGTATGCTTAGGATCTTCCAAATAATAATGGGTATTAACTATTGAGCGTTTATCTCGTGTTAAGTGCTATCATGTGTTTTATGTGTTCTACTCATATAATAGCCACCCCACCCTTGGAGGTAGGTGCTACAGTTTTATCACCTTTTTTCTAAAGACACAAGGCATAGAAACTTGCAAGATTGTATAGCTAGTAAATAGCAGAGCCAAGATTCAGACCCAAGCATTGAGTCATATATATATATATATATATATAAAACAGGAGCCATATATCTTGCCCAGGATATTGGTTTTCCTCTGGCTCCAGCTGGACTAGACACACTTTCTTTGTTACTGATTAGTTTGTAAGATAAAATTTTAGAAGCTCATCACTTTTTAAATAATATCTTTAACCAAAAAGCCATAATTTGATACTGTCTTTCTTTGGGAAAGATTACTTCCCCACTTTGCTTCTTTTGGCTCAGCTATTAGAACATTGGGTCAAATAATTGAGGAGGGGTCATCAAATTGAAGGGGAAAATGAAAATGAAGAATAATTAAAGTGTTCCCTGAACATTTGGCTTTGACTGGTGATCTCTCTCTCTCTCTCTCTTCCTTTTTTTTCCCCCTGCTCCAGCTAAAGGGGAAGGGGTCAGTTATTCTAAAGGAATTACAACCCTTTTGTTGTAAATTATACAAAACCTTCTAGGGGGCAGCAGTGAGTAGGATATGAGCTGAGTTCCCGCTGTTGCTATTTACTGTGGCCTTTACCTCACTGAGTTCCCTTACAGAGGCAGCATTCATCAGGACATAGTTTCCATTCCTTGGGCCTATTTGAGCCTGGATTTTTAGCAAGGAAGTTCATGGAAATTACATTATTTAGAGGAGATGAGGGGAAGGAAAGAGTCTTTGTCTACTTTATCCATAACACACCTACCTGTGACTTTTTAGGGAGTACTTTTCTTCTGAGTTTAGAATAATGCTAACGTTGAAAGCAGGTGCCAATTCACATGTCCATGATAATGAGAACTATTTTAAAAATCCGTGTTTTCAAAGTTCCATACTTTTAAGGCTTTCAACTGTCCTTGAGAAGCTAACACTCTGATAGAGTAGAATACTAGTAGATATATTTAGGCATTCATACTCATTTAAAAATATTTATTTCTATCAGTTGTGACAAGTAATTTGTCTTATCTCCAATTCTGTTCTTCCCTCAAATAGGTGTTTTTGTTAATAACCATATCTTTGTATCACTTGTCAGTTTTATAGGTTACATTAAAATTTTATTCTGAATAGAGGTAGATACATTATTCTTATCATTATATAGAAAAGAAATGTAAAAGCCAAGAAGTAAAATAAATCAGATTTAGTTTATAAAGAAAATAAAAAATTTAAAAATCCTATATTGAGAATATGTACAAAAATCTATTAGGCTACCTTCTCCCTGGACTCTTTCCTGAAAGAAAAGTAGACCATAGTTCCTGTTTATATAAAAGACTTTCCTTTTTTTTTTTTCAGATATATAGGTGAATTTGCTTTAATTCTATATAGCTTCAAAGAACTAATGATGGATAGGATTAACATTTTTCCTCAATGTAAGAAAATGAAACTTCTCAAAAAAGGAATGTAGGAACTGGCTATCTTATGAAGAATACAAAAGTATTCTTTTAGAAGACCGATGAGAGCTTGTACATTGTAGATAAGGATTTCTATACTGGATCAGGAAATTAGTTATTAAAAGAAATAATCTTAATTAAGGAGGACTGTGTTAAGAGAATTAGAACTAGTTACAAGGTCAAAATTCACAACCAAGAAAAGAAGGAGGGACCAGCGGGTGGTGTGGTGGTTAAGGCACTGGACTCTCACATGTCTATGGTTCAAATCCTGGACCTAGTGGCTTTCTCCCTGCCCCTCTCCCCCATTGTCTCTCTCTGGTAAGCATGTATGCCCTATAGCAAATTTAAAAATAATAATAATAAGTAAAATTAAGTAATTATTTTTGAAAAAGAAACGGAAGCATTTTCAAATGGGGTCAGTATTAGAAATTAATTAGTGAATAGTGGATTGGATGACTTCTGGAAAACTTTTCAACTTTAAGATTCTAGATTAATAATCCTGAGGAGAATACTGCTTTGGGCTTTGTGTTTCTGTTTATAGCCACATGGTTATGATTCTCTGAAAGGCCTAAGGATTGTTTTATAAGGCATCAGATAAATTTAAAAATACATGGAAATGATTTAGGTATACAAGTAAATAGAACTGACTTCTGCCTCTAGTCTTGATAGAGTGAAAGGGACAAGATTTACCCATTCAACTTAACTAGAAAACTAGACAAACCATGAAAAAATTTTCAGATACTGTATAACAGGCAGTATTTCCCTTCCTGAGAGAAGGGAGATAAAATGGATATATTCTATAGTTTACTTCTTTTATTGAGGTGGGAGTGTGTGTGTTGTAGGGAAGGAAGCTTGCAGAGGGACTCCCCTTATGTCCTTGGTTGAGTACTGATCTGTGCATGTGTGAGGAGAAACTACCAGAGTCTGGGAAAAGAACCAGCAGAAAGAAGGGCAGTCTCAGAGTCGACATGGCCAAGGCTAGTTCTGTTTCAACCAGTTAGAGTGGAAAAACCTCCTAAGTCATAGGGCATCAAACAGCATCCTCTGAAGGATTTTGCCTCCAGAGTAGAGCCAAACTGACCCTGGAATAAAGAATACACTACACCTACTGTAGCAAAGCTTAAAACCCAAGTCTCAGAGGCTTGGAACTAGCCAAGTTATAGAAAAAAAGATCCCTAAAATATAAAGGAATACAAGAAATCCCAGCATAAAACAGAAACCAACAATGTAAAATTCACAATGTCCAACACCCAATAAAAAAATTCCCAAGCATACAAAGATGAAGATAAATGCAACTTATGATGAGGGAGGAAATCAATTACTAGAAACATCCAAAATGATAGAATTAGCAGAAAAGTGTGTAAAATTGGTATTCTAGGAACCAGCAGGTGGCGTGGTGATTGAGGTGCTGGACTTCCACACTGCCAACCATGGTTTGAGTCCCAGACCTGGTGACTTTTCTCACTTTTCCTCTCTCTCTCTCTCTCTCTCTCTCTCTCTGGTGAGCACATGTGACCTATGGCAAGTTTAAAAAAATAGTAATAAATTAAATAAATGAATAATTTTTAAAAATTGGTATTGTAAAACACATTATATATATATTTTCAATCCAAATTAAACTTGTAGAGATGAAAAATGTAGTAACTTAAAAAATACATTGGAAGATATTAATAGTAAATTAGATACTTGAGAAGAAAAAAATTGTGAACCTAGAGATAAAGCAGTAGAAACTGTCCAAAATAAAACAGAAAAAAATGCTGAAGAATGATGACAGGAGCATCAGTGAGCTGTGGAACAATATCAAGCAGTCTGAGCATGTTATTGGAATTCCAGAAGAAAAGTTAAGGGGCATCAGTGGTGTCAGAAAAAGTGTTTGAACAAATAATGGCGTAAGATTTTTCAAATTTTAAAACTGTAAACTGACAAATCCAAGCAATTCAGCTACCCTCAAGTAGAAGATACACCATGCTAAACTATGTAATAAAATTGTTGAAAAACAGTGATAAAGAGAAAAATACTAAGTGCAACCAGAGGGAAAAAGACACATTATGCACAACAGAACAAATATGAGAATAACTCAGTCGAAAACCGTGTAAGCTGGAAGACAACATTACCTACTTTTTAAAAAAATATTTTAAACATTCAGTCAGTATACATCACTTAGCTTGTAAAGTGAATTTACCCAACGTGAATACACTTCACGACAGTCCAGTTCAGGATACTGTACTCATCATCATTAACAGATAGTAATTCATTTCTGTGTCCCATAAATGTCTTCCCTCTCTATTTTTCTCCTTAATTTCTTTCCTCATACTCACCTTCTCCCATCCTCTTCCCACACT